CTCAGGGCGCTTCTGTTCAGGTATCCTTTGAGCTGGGTCCAAAATATATTTGAAAATAAATATTTTGGACTTTTAAATATTTAAAGGACCCACTACAAGACAATCATGGCTTCCAGTGGCAGAGCTGGAAAAAAAAATTAAAAGGTACAAAATTTTAATTGTTTTTATAAATATTATTAAAAAAAATTATAAAAATAATTATTTTTCAGACCGTCAATCCCACTCATGAGTACGAGAATAATTCTCAACAACCATATAATAGTTATTTACTAGTTATACGATACATGTGATGTTGTGGGTTAATTTTTTTTGTATAAAAAATATTAAAAAACTAAAATCTAAAAATATTATGTCTTTTTGCAAAAACTATATCTAAGAGTTTTAGATTTGACTGCAATATCTAATCTAAGAATAATATTTATAATATCAATAATAACATTAAACTTGCATGATCAAATTTTAAGAAGGTTTGATTGCAATACCAGACTCAATAATCTTATATGTGGGTCTAGTTGTAAAGTTCTTTTTTTTTTCTTCATTCGTTTTTTTTTCTAGATGTCATGTCAGCGCAATGCCATGAGCTTGTGGCATGCTTGTGTGTTGTCAATTTGTGAAAAAAATAAAAATAAAATTATATGTAGAAAATTATTGTAATTCACAATGTTTTAAAAAAAAAGTCTAGAAAAAAATTAAAAAATTAAATGCATAAAGAAAATTTTGAAAAAAAAAACTGAAAGGGAAAAAAACATGCAGGAAACACTACAGCAATCTATAGTGTTTCATGAGAAAATCTACAATTGTAATTCTCAACCAACTCAATAATAAAAATAATAAAATCAATAAAGATAATTTTGAAAAAAATTATAAAAAAATCATGTGGGGGGAACACTCTAGTAATCCACCTATTTTAAAGAAACAAATTACAAAGCTAAATTTTCATTCAGCTCAATAATTAAAAAAAATCAACAGAGATAATTTTAGAAAAAAATTAACAAAAAAAATAAAAATAAAATAAAAAAAACCATGTTGGAAACACTATAGTCATTCACAATGTTTTGTGATGAAAGCTACAGTACTTCTCTACATAATTTAACCTTATTTATAATTACTTGTAATTATAATTCTCAACCAGCTCAATATAAATCAACAAAAAAAATTCTAAAAAAAAAGAGACAATTTTGGAGGAAAAAAAGCAATAAAAAAATGAAAAAAATAGAAAAAAACATATGGAGAAAGTTAAAGCTGAATTCTCAACCAGCTTAATATTAAAAAAAAAAAATTAACAAAGATAATTTTTTATAAAAATATGTGGGGAAACACTGTAGCAAAACAAAAACAATACGGGGAAACATTGTAACAATCCACAGTGTTTTAAAGAAAAAACTATTTTGAAAAAAAAAAAAGAAAAAATTCATAAAAAAAGAAAGAAGAAAAAAGCCATGCAGGAAGTATTGTAATAATTCATAAGTTTTTAATAAAAAAACTAATGAAAAAAAAACAAAAATCAGAATGAATTGGGTTAACCTTTCAAAGCAGGTAAACCCGTAAAACCTTGAATTCACATCGTGAAAGTTTGATAAATAAATAAATAAAAAAATTGACAAGTTACTCATAATTAATTGGGCTAACTTGTCAAGCCTGAGATCCATGTCATGAAAATTTGATAACTAAATAAAAAAAATTAACGGGTTTACCCATAATTAACTGGGTTAACCCGTCAAATTAAGTTAACCCATCAAGCCTAGAATACGTGTCATAAAAATCTGATAATTAAATAAAAAGAAATTTAACATTAATAAACTAAACTAAATAAAAAAATTAATTAAAAAGAAAAAATTTTCTGGTTAACTGGTCACACCAGGTTAACCCATCAAATTCTGGATCCGTGTCATGAAAGTTTGACACAAAAATAGCAAGTTGATCAGCAGGGATTAAAATAAAATCAAAGCAAGATAAAAAAGAAAAAGAAAAAAAGGACATGCATGAGAAAAGAACAACCATAAAGTTCCATCTTTTGTTGACGGAGCAGGTTGAAACTGAATAGAGAAGACAAGAGGAAGTACAGAGAACAACCATAGCTTCCCTCTCAATCTCTCTCCAAATTCCATGGAGTCCAGCAAACAAGAAGTAGTCTTTGAGCTACCAATGACTCTCCATGTTCACAAGGATGGCCATGTGGAGAGATTAATACCCACAGTGTTTATCCCACCTTCAACCGATCCCATTACAGGAGTTTCATCGAAAGATACTGTAGTCGTCCCACAATCCAACATCACTGCTCGCCTATTCCTACCTAAAATCACAGATCCGAAAGAAAAACTTGCCGTCCTTGTTTATTTCCACGGAGGAGCCTTTGTTATCAACACGCCATTCATTACTCCGTTCCATAAATTCGTAACCATCCTTGTCTCTGAAGCCAATGTTGTTGCTGTTTCTGTTGACTATAGGAAAGCTCCGGAGCACCCTATCCCAGCTGCATACGAAGACTCAATGGCTGCACTCAAATGGGTTGCTTCCCATTCCAGTGGAGATGGACCTGAGCCTTGGTTAAATAACCATGCCGATTTTCAACAAGTTTTTCTGGGAGGTGATAGTTCTGGTGCTAATATTGCTCACAATTTGGCTATGACTGCTGGGAATCCTGAGACGGGGCTTAGTATTGGGCTTCTTGGGATTGCTTTGGTACACCCTTATTTTTGGGGGTCGGTGCCTGTTGGATCGGAGGCGGATTATCCAGATGACAAGTCTATAATTAATCGAGACTACGTGGATCGAGTTTGGCCATTTATTTGTCCATCTAACCCGGATAACGACGATCCACGGGTTAATCCAGTGGCAGAAGGTGCACCAAGCCTGGGGGGCCTGGGGTGTCAGAGGGTGCTGGTTTGCGTGGCCGAGCATGATTTGATGAAAGATAGAGGCTGGCTTTATTACGAGGCATTGAGCCGAAGTGGGTGGAAGGGTGTGGTTGAGATATTTGAGACACAAGGAGAGCACCATGGATTCCATTGTTCTGACCTGGAACATGAGAAATCTAAACAGTTGACACAAAGACTGGCTGCTTTCTACAAGACTTATTGATGCGCCTCAGTTTCGATAGAGGGAGGATTTCCTGCTATTGCTCTTGATATGATCTTATTAATTTGTGATATCGTCTCCTACTTAATTTGTATTCAGCGAAAGTCATGTTGTTGTTGTTTCTGTTGATTATTAATTAGTTTGCTCTGAGCGTGTTTCACGTTGTAATAAATTCATTTTATTCGGTAATCAAGTACTATTAATATATAACATGTGAAGCTAGCTGGCACGAATTGGTGCTTTCTACTGGCACTAATTGGTGCTATCTAAGTTATGGGTATCAATTCGGTGCTACTTCTGATATCAATTTATTCTCTTGTTTTTTTGCAAGACAAAGACAAGGATGTCTACGCATCCTTACCTTATATATAACACACTAGAGAGAAATAAATGAGAAAAAAAAAGGAGTTATAGAGAAAAAATTATCCCATAAAATTATAAGGTATTTGTAAGAGAGTAAGTGAGATATTTTTTTCTATTATTAATTGTTATTCTATTATTTAAGTAGTTGTTTTTCTATTTGTTGGTACTCAATTTTGGACCCCACATGCTAGAGATGGTGTATACCCATTTTGAACCAAGTGTAGGAGTGTAGTTCATGTTTGCTAGAAAATTGACAAAAGCGGAGGAGAAAGAAAGATTTTTTTTCGAACCCTGTTTCAGCCATCTCTTGCTCTCTTTATCCTTCCCCACTGCTACTGAAATTGTCAGGATTCTTAGGCTAATTAGGATTCTTTATAATG